ATTCTTTCTATTCCTTAGTTTATTATATTAGATAATATCTGATATTATAAGCTACAAGATTTGTCCAGAAAGTATCAAGCAATTTAATACTGAAACAAGTAATTTATCTAGGACAATGGCATCTTAGTCTCCTTAGAAGTACTCCCCTTGGGACCTTTTACACTTATTCCAACATTAATTTTACTTCTCAAAACAATCTTGAAAACTCTTTTTTGGAATTACCATTGGCTGTCTTGTCACATTCTCCTTAATTTCATCTAGTGTCTGAAACCTCCTCCCTTTCAATGACAAATTTAGCTTTTGGAAAATCCATAAGTTGAGGAAACCAAATCTGAGCTGTATAAGGGCTGATGTGATGTTTTCCCAAAAATGCTTGCACCAGACCTAAAGAATTTGGAGGTGCATTATCATAGTGAAGTTGCCAATCACTGCTTGCCCACAACTGTGGCCATAGTAAAGGACTTTGATATAGTATTCTTTAGTCTGGCCTGGAGAAGAATATTTGTGACAGACAACATCTTAAAAAACTATTAATATTGCCTTGATGTTGCTCTGACTGTTGTACCTTCTTCAGACATGGAGACCCAGCTAACTTCTATTGGGAAGACTGAGCTTTTATTTCAGGATTATAGCAATAGAATTATGATGGAAATCTGAGTCATTGTTATCAGTTTCAAGTAGTCTTGTGTAAATGTGAGGTTCCAGAGTCCAAAATCAAGTTTCTTATATAATATAAGATTGTTAAAGTTTAGGTTAAAACAAAATTTAAATGTAGGTTATGTAAGAGAAAGAGAAATGTTGTTATTTAAACAAAGTGACACAGAGGTAAAAAAACATCCTGGGACAACTCTTACATGTGTTAAATGATATATCAATGTCAAGCCAAGAGGTCTAACCTAGACACTGGCACTCATAAACAAAGGATCAAAGCTAGAACAAATTGGGAGAATGGGAGGATTTGAAGGTCAGGGAGACATCACAATGGATCATTAAAATTCTGAACTGACAGAATAGAGGAAATAACAGGCTAACTTAGGAGTGCAGATTTCTTCATTCTGTCAACATCCCTCAACTCTGACACAACATATGTAGTAAGATCTCCTCTGATAGACTGTCATCTCATATCAAGGTCACGTGAATGGTTTGCATGATATTCTAAATGGCTGGATACTTTCTGAAGAAACCTTGTATTTTAAGGTTGCAATGAGGATACAATAGTCACTGTTGAGAAGGGTCACAAAGAATCACATGTGGGTGCAATTGGAACCAAGACAGACACTACAGTTACAAGAAGCCATTTATTTGACATGAAAGGAGCTTACAAGATTTCCGAAATCTTGGAAGTTCTAAGTGCTAAAAAAAAGAGAGCTGTACAGGCAATATGTATCGTTGGTAACGATGGTTCCATTTGCATTGCTCATGGCTATTGAGCTAGAAAAAGCATGTAAAAAGCGGCAGCCTCTGGATTTTCCTCTCTTTTTCAAGATAATCCCAAATGAAGGAGTGTCCCTGGTTCATGAATGGCAGTTCCCTCAATGTCTCGACTCAAGGGTGATGCGGTCAACTTCTGGTGATGGAAAGATGTTGATCCGAGGACAGGAGACTGAGACAAAGATGGGCACAAGACACACACAACAATTGGCTTGACACTCGGAACTTTTGAGGGAAGCTGTCACATCCTTGAATTTCCAGGTTTTTATTAATTTCTGTCCTTGATCACCCAATTGGTTGCTTTTCCTCATTCTCACTTTCCAAGAGGTTGATCACTTGTTACTAAGTGTAACTAGCTATCAGATCAGATTGTGAGAGAGGTCAAAATCAATGTTTAATTCAATCCCCCAACTAGAGATAGTTGATCTTACATTCTTCTATAGTTTAAAACTTCATGTTGCGTATTCATACAAAAAAATTATTTTTAGCTTCTATTTTTTTTGTTTTTTTTTAATTTTAATGCAAATTTTAGTGAGCGTTCAAACCTCAGAGCCTCACAGTATAAAAGTAAATTCAATTTTCATAAAACATCATTTACAAATTAAAAACAATAAATAGAACAATCAATAATTGAAAATAGAAGCACATTCAAATTATATTTGATATGCCAATGATTATTCATTATACTAAATTTTTACATTTTTTTAAAAAGAAATAAGGATAAACAATTAAATTAGATATAATACATTTATTTAACATTGTTAAAACCAATTCAATACATCCCCAACTTTCTAGTTTCATAGAATTGTGACATAGCTGTTTTCGATAATTCAATAGTTGAAATTGATAAAACCACAAAAACCAAATATCAGAAGAAAAAAAGGTGATAGAGCTAATGTTTTGGCCTTCAGTCTTTAAGTAGACTCAACAATTAAGATACCATCTTAACAGCCACTTTATTAATTCTAACACAACTAGAAGGCTGCCAGATTACAAACAATCTAGCCAAATCCTGGACAAAGGGTATACATATAATAGCTAATGTTTTTGCTGGTGTTGAACAGGCATCATCAGGTTAAATGATCCCACAGCTGTTGAAACAATGAGGGACTGCCACACATTTTTGCAGGCAGAATTATAAATTTATAAGGCTGCCTGCAAAAATACCACCATTAACTTCTGAGATGTAGATTCCTTTCCCCTAGCGGGGAAGTCATTTTACAAATTGTAAACTCACTATCCTCTTCTCCTCCCTCTCTCTCTCTTTCTTACATCACCTCCCCTCTTCACTTATGTATGGCAATCTCCCATTGTTTCAACAGCTATGGGGTCATTTAGCTTGATAATGCCCATTCAACACAGCTGAAAACTTTAGCTCTATCTCCCTTTCTTCAGCTGGTATTTGATTTTTTGTGGCTGTTTTTATCAAGTTTACCCAGTTTTAAGCAGTTGTGTCAGTTGTATCAAGTTTTCTTTAAAATCAATTCAAATGTGAAAAATTGATAAAACAGCTAAAATGTCAAATCAAACTGAATGATATAAATCAGTGATGGGCAAACTACGGCCCGCGGGCCAGATGCGGCCCCCTGAAATGTTCTATCCGGCCCGCGCGACATTATTCCTAATCTGACGAGTAAAAAAGAATACAGGCTGTGGTGGTTGATGCACCACTTAACTTGAGTGTTCGTTGATTATATAAAATAACCGAAGCTTTATATCTCACCATGAAAGTTTATTTACAATCATGTACAAAATTTTGTTTTACACTTATTGAGTAAAAGCTCGATCGGTTACAAGCATGCTTCGGTACAGAACATCCACTCGTCGTGCGTAGCGTAGCCGAAAGAGAGAAAAAGAAATATGGCGGATGGCCTGCACATGTTTTTATAGCGCCACCTGGATTTTCAGATGCAGCGCTAGGTTACAATTATATTGGCCTGCCTAAAGTTTTCTTCTTTTCCTTTGGCCTGCTCTTTAAAAAGTTTGCCCATCACTGATATAAATGATTTTATTTGAAGAGATGTAGCTACATGGAGTGGGAAGGGACTGTATTTTTTATACAGTGGAACCTCGGTATACGACCTTAATCCGTTCCCAATGTTTGAACTTATACCGAATAGGACGTATACCAAACCAACCTTTCCCATAAGAAGTAATGTAAAAACGATTAATCCATTCTCATGTAAAAAACAATTGGCTGGCTTTAAACACCTCACTATCCTGGCTAGTTCCTGGTTGATTCTTCGTGAGATCAGCGTGTATCTTTTTAACTTTCTCACAAATAATTGCTTCTGTTCCTACTACGTTTGCCTTATGTTTCGCACATTTCGAGTGATTTTTTATGTCAGTTCTGATACGCTGTCGCCAGTTATCCAAAGCAAAAGCAATTTCTCACATGATCTAATATTCTTGATCTCTGTTTAGAAATTGATTTAACCCCTTTCGCAACGTTAGCAGATTTAATAATGTCTTTATTTTTCACGATTGTCGATATCGTTGTTCTCGGAATAAGGTATGCAGCAGTTAAATGTCGAACACGCGTACCGCTTTCATACTTCTCAACAATCTCTTTTTTCAGTTCCATTGTGATTCTAGTCAATTTTTTAGTTTTCTGTTGCTTTTCATTTTCCTTTTTGCAATTCATCATTAATAAAACTAATTAAATTTTGCTTACAAATTAAAATCAGAAGAAATTTAACCAAGTTATAAACCGTGGCACCGCAAACGTTTAGTCTGGGCTACTACACCGATAGTGCTACTTGTTCATAAATGGCGCGTATAATTGAATTAAGTCATATACCGAACAAAAGTCATATACTGAGCAAAATTTGTTTCGTCCAAACAGGACATATTCCGAATTGGACGTACTGTAAAGCAGACGTATACCGAGGTACCACTGTATTTAACATACTTCCACCCCTCACTATCTGCTAGTCCCCACTGCTGCCCTACATGAATCTAAAAGTAAACAGATAAAAAAGTCACAAGCAATTGATCACGGGATGAAACAAAACACACACATCTTAACAAGAACATAATACTTGTTCTTGTTAAGCCATTTTTTATTGAGCATTATCATGCGCATCACTGGTTTGCACATGACACAAGGAGCTACCATACTGATATGGCAGCTCCTTGCACATCAATGCATTGTTGGTGGTCTTGAGCAATTGGTTTTTTATGGTAGCCTAGCTATCTACGCTAAGTCTAAGCAAGCTATCAGATGTAGGTGACTCACAAACAGAAATTTCTGATTATATCCCTGTATATGATAAAAATAATTTGTATTTTTAAAGTAAAAATTTTAAAATAATATATAAAATAAATATTTAATACAGTATACTGGTATAATAAAATTTGAATTGCTTTATAGTTTTTTGTAATTTTTGTATTTAATTAAAATCTGTACTTATTTTAGTATAAACAATAAGTTTTATATCAGCTTGAATTTTTCATAGCAATTAGTAATTTAAACTAATAAAAATTATTCATCTAATATAATTCACATTTCCTAATTTTCATATTCATTGATAAATATAGTATTTCGAATAATTTTATTTTTAACTTACCTATTCAGTAGGTCAATATTAATTTTATCTAGTTTCTCTATTCCGATTGGCATAGGAAGAGTTGTTCTTTGATTAATTAATCCTACCGCTTTACATACTTCATTTTTAAAATCTTGCAGTTGATGATTAATGTCAATTGATACCGATTCGGGCCATAGCTCATGATTTTTCTGGTTATTTAAGATAGGTATTATAATCTGAAATAAAGATTTATGATGATTTTTTTGTGTGTGTGTGTGTGTGTGTGTGTTTCAATTATACATACAGAACATAAAGTTTCACAGTGGCGTACCATAGTGGGGCGGCAGGGGCGGCCCGCCCCGGGCGGCACTTTTTAGGAGCAGCAAAATTACCTTTTAGGGGGCGACAAAATTCACAACAAATAATAATAATATCTCGTAAAAATTTGAAACATCCTAATCCATACTTGCATTGCGCCGACAATAGTGCTATCGTCCGGACAGTCCAGGAATTGGCTCGCCGGGTGAATTAGTAACTTTTTCATCCGAGGAATTCCTGTGAAACCTGTTGAACTTTTTATTTTTTATTTTTTTTTTTGCTTGTACGATTCATTTGCGTTCATATACACTACCAATATCCAATAGAACTATTTTAAACAGGTTGCTACACTATCACCGAGTTTTTCATTGCTTGTTCTGTGACAAAACTGAATTTTGGTCTTTTAAATTGAAATACCTAAATAAGGGGGGCCAAAATTTTCCTCCGCCCCGGGCGGCTGACACCCACGGTACGCCACTGAAGTTTCAATTAAAAATCGTAACTATCATAATTAATTAGCTTTACCTCTTCTAGTGAAACATTCAGTTGTTCCAATGGTGATGATGAAAAATCACCAATTACAAGTGAATCGACTAAGTTCTTTTTTGGAATTGGTTCCTTTTTATATTTTAAAAAATACATTCCTTTTCCTTTAATCGTATCTGGATATTCATTAGAAGCTACTAATTGACCTGCTGCATTTTCTGATATGATTAATAAATCTGGAACAGGGTTATTTAGGAATTCTTTTATTTTCATAACGTTGTCTTCAACGGTAAGCATTCGTGCCCACTTATCATGGCGATAGTTAAGACTTAGCATTGTTATATCGTTTAGAAAGATGAAGCGAGAATCTTCTGATTCATCTTCGTCTTTTTCTGTAAAATTACTACTACTGCTACTATTGCTTTTATCTTCGAACATCGTTATAGAATATCTTAACTTCGAAATCGTTCTGCTTCTAAAAAGAGAACATTGTTTGGAAACCGTTGTTATGGAAACAGAACTTTATCGTCTGCTGCAAATATTAAGACAATGTTGCCACATTTTAATATATATTTTAAATGTTTTTAATTTTGATTGTTATGTGTTTATATCGATTGAATATAGTTTTTATATTTTTTTATAAATTTTTCTTAAATTTTGAATTGATTTTTTTTTCTCGCGTATCAATACTTCTATTAAAGTTTCGTTTGGTTTTATTCGTATACGGCAACACGACACACAGACGATCTACCGAAGGGAATGCCTCCCATCGGTAGATCGTCCATGGTCCAGAAGGGATTGTCTTTTATGAGAAACTGGCCCTTATTTAGGTGTTAGTTAGGTGTTAACGTGAAGAAAATGCGAAAAACACATTGGCGAGGCACAACCCATGACCACTTTAGAGTGAATAAAACCACTGAACCCATGACCATTTCAGTGGTCGTGGGTTCAGTGGTTTTATTCACTCGGCCACTAGTGGGCTACATTGGGCCGTCTTATAATTAGTGTCCATACGGAAAAAAGAGTTTTTAAAAAAAAATCTGGTCATGATCATCAAATAGAAGCTAAGCTCTTTAGCGGACTGCCGGATGACCTTGGCGGTTAGGACTCACCAGTGGCCTAGTACAGAGGTAGCGAACCTATGGCACGTGTGCCCAAAGTGGCACGTCGAAGAAATCATCCGGCACTTAACATATTATACGATATCGGTTTATCATATTTTTTCAATCAGGTTCTTTACATTTACTCTAATTACAGCATATTATTTTATTTATTTAAATATAGTTTTTTAAAACTCTTTTCGCCCTGTGGGCTGGATCATCACCTGAAAATTTTCTGGGGTTTTGATCTCGGGTCCAGAAGAGCGATAAGCTACCATTTTGACCGCTCGGCCATTCCGCCAAATTTAAATATAGTTACTAGAAGAGCGTAGATTAATCTACGCTCTTCTAGTAGAAGCGCGTAGATTAATCTACCGACTCTGCTAGAAGTCTAAAACTTCTGCACGCACAGTAGCGTGCCGTGACATTTGATGAGAGGGGAGCTGTGTTTCTGTAAGAAGCCGATTTCCAGGGGCAATCAGTTAATTCTTTAAATGTATTTTTAATAGATTATTTATCTGACGTAATTAATAAATAATAAATAAACAAGTTCAATATAATTACCTCTAATTATTTCAATATAATTATCAAAGCGAGAATCGGCATTTAGAGGGCATAGATTCTTTATGCCCTCTAAATGCCAATTCTCGCTTTGATAAAAACATATAAGATCTATTAATTTAAATATATCTAAGCCGTAACTATCTCGTTATAATTTCCAATATTTATTTTATATTATTTACTAATGTTAAATTCTATTCCGCTTCGATTTCCAAATTGCTTCAAATACGAAAGAATCGACGATTTTTCGTGTCTTTTGCCAGCTAAATTGTCAAAGCCATTCTTATTCCACACACTAATTTCATTTGAAAATAGTAGGCAAGCCAACAAAACAATTTTTGCATTTTTATGCATTTACAAGTATTTACAATGAATTTACAAAGCATTTTATAGTGAAAATGTCGAACAAATTTTTTATTGAAGTGTTTATATTTAACTTAGGCATTGGCCTTTCTCTTTTAATAATGTTTTCTTTTTCATTACATGATCTTGAGCCAAAACTTTTTAAAAATAAATTTTCAATATCGCAATTACATTCTGAATCGCTAGGGTATAAGGGCTACGATATAAGGGCTAAAGCGGCCGGATGGCCGCCTACCGCTCTGGGGGACCCGGGTTCGAATCCGAACGGGTCGAAAAAATCCCCAGGAATTTTTCGGGGGTGGTCCGTTCAGATATGTCGGGCCCCGTCCCTCACCACCCGGCAGCCCCATTGTGGGCCTGGCAGAACCCATAATGGGCCTGCAAAAAGAGATCCTCTTAGTGCCCACAGGGCGGAAAGAGTTTAAAAAAAAGCTATAAGGGCTAAAATTAAAAATAAAATTATAAAAACTTACTTGGTGAAATAAAATGTGTGGTGGATATACATACCTGGTACAAAATATTCTTCAATTGTATGAATATACTTTTAAAGAAAATTATAATTAAATATAGCTTTGTAAAGAAACGTACATAAAAATAACATAAAATCTTCTTTACTTTTTAAATCTTAACCACTTAGTCAAATAGCTCCCTACCAGTGGAATCAGAGATGGTCCTGCTAGATGTGAGGTGTGTACATGCACGAGGGCTGCCAAATCCCGAGGGTGCCCATACCGGTCAATGTCAAATGCCTGTTTAGTCGCATCACTAGTATACCTGAAAGGACGCGACAGGGTTGTTGTAAATTTTAAACGTTTCTCGCCATAGCTGTAAAAATCTAAATATGTTAAAATTAATAGTCATTTGTTTTCTAACTAATTCGTTTTAGGACCAGGTGTCCACGGAAATTTCCAAAGTTTACAACTTTTCGGTCACTCCCGTTGAACTGGAAAAATTTCTGTTTATATTACGTCTAATATTACGAAGAAATCAGTCCCCACTGTACTCGGCTAGAGATTGGGTCGGTTAAGCTTTTAATTAAATAATATTCCGGCTCTTTCAGCAGGGTTTTATTTGTGTCCCTAATTTCTTAATTATTTAACTACTTCTTAAGTAGAAATAAGTCGAAAATGGTTACTTTGTACTCGAATATTTGTAGTCTCGGGAAAAAAGTGAAAAGAAATTTTTATTACAACGGATACATAAATCGTAAATTTAAGAAAAATAAATTCTATAGCTTTTTCTGTACCTCGTGCATCCCTCCCATTCATTAAATTTAGTTGTAAATGATTCTACCAAAGTAACAGTTACTTTTTTAACATTGTACAAAAATTGTACACGTTTTTTCTACATCCCCTTAAAGATGGGATATACAAAATCATAATATCACTGGTTTAACATTGAAATCTGTGAGTAATATAAAATCGGAGAGCGGAATAAAAATATCAAATATTTTAATGGATTTTTTTAACTCCTGTCAACTATACAGAACTATCATAAAAACATACCAGTAAATTCTTATCGGTTGGGTTAAGTTATAATAAATCTACTCGTGATTCATGTAATCGGACAAGGGCGGCCAAATATCTAGCGGGCGGGCGGCTAACAGCCCAGAACCAGTCCTGGATAGAATTGGATGCATTATACGTGTAGCATCCACCCAAGGTCCTAGGCTTCCACCAGCTAAACCGGATGAGGTTGGTGCTCTGTAAAGCGCATGCACGAATCTGGCTTTTTGGATGCTGACAATACAGCGCTTCCATTCCGCCACTAATACTCAAATATACAACAGCAATCTTATCTTTTTTTTCACGTGTAGTATAGAAATTTGTAATAAGATACATAATGCGGTAATAATAAAATATTGTGCGATTATTTTCATATAATTAAAATTAATATGTATTTATTTTTTAGAAAATACAAGGGAAGCGGCGCATCCACCGCTTCCAATGACGGCACGCCACTGTGTACGCATAATCATTTTTAAAGAAAAGTATGCTTAATATGCTTACTATGTGGCACACAGACTCAAAAAGGTTTGCCATCCCTGGTCTAGTAGATAAAAACCGCTGAACACAGGTCGTGGGTTTCGCACCTGACTATCGGACTGGTCATGTGGAGTTTGTCGGATTTTTTTCACGTGTCTAACACCTGAATAGTGACTAGTTTTTCTTAGAAAGGCGTTCTGGAAAGAGGATGATCGGATCAGATATGTCTGTCCCCGTCCCTCACCACCCGGCCGTCCCATTGTGGGCTTGCTTGGCCGAACCCATATTGGGCTTGCTTGGCCGAATCCATATTGGGCTTGCTAAAAGAGGCTCTCTTAGTGCCCACCAGGGCGGAAAGAGCAAAAAATAGCCATATTTTACTTTCACTCTCCAAACCGCATTATAAATAATGATAAGAATTTCTAACCCGGAGTTACGCGATTTTCAAATCTCGTGGATTCGTCTTTTGTTTGAGCGGCACGCAGTTCTTGATTACTCACTCCCCCCACACTATTGTTCAGCTTACATTGGGGACAGCTTACAATGCTTTGCAATGGGGACAGCTTACATGTCGGATGTGTCGCGCGGAATCGACGCATAGTTACAATTTATTTTGTGTTATTTATTTCTGTGTTTGTTATATCTACGGAGACTCGAGAAACTCTATATGGTGATTTCTTGTAACCGCGAATGAATCAAGAGACGTGATAAGATTAACGAGAACATTTATTAGCTTACATACATCCGAATTTGAATTTTACACAAATTGTGAAATTATACCCCGACTTACGCGGTTATCGCTCGGTTTCACCTATCGCGTAAGTTCGGGGTATCACTGTATTCGTAATTTAAAAAAATGAATTTGCGAAAAATAGCCTATAATGCTCTGCGTAATAAAGTTCGCATGGAAAACTTAAGTTAGAGTTTTTCACTACTCATAGCTTTTCTGGAGCGAAAGAAATTGCAAGGCCAATTTTTAGTCTTAAAATAACAAAATTTCAAATGATTTTTTTTATTATTCGTATTCAAAATCGTAATCGTAAGTTTCACAATATTATAAACAAAACAAAATTTTTTATTATCACTAATCATCTCGTGCAAAATATATCCATGACTAATGATATAAATTTTTGAAATATACGTGAGTAATATAGTTTACAATTTGATATTTTTATTGTTGATGTCTGTCTGTAGAGAAATAAATACATGTATTCAACATTTTATACGTTTTCGATTCTATGAATCTGCAACAAATGTTCGATCAGCAAACAATTATAACATCTTAAAAGTTTTCATCGTCCTCAAGAATTCTAGTTTTGTTCTTAGGATCTGTTTAACTTCAAAGTATTCTTGATATTTCTGCCTTACTCGTGTTTAGATGCCATATGTCCCATTTTTCTTGAGTTTTATATTTAAAAGTTACTCTAGGTAAGCGTTATCCATTATCGGTAAGCATCTAATTACTTCGTAGTTTTCACATTTCAGTTTAAATCATCCATTTTAAATGGATGATCTATGTTAAATCTTCCCATTTCAAAGATTGTTAAATATTACAGGTTCATCTACAATATTTTCAAACAGTTAATAATTTTTTAAAATATTATTATTAAACAGTAGGACTTCGATTTAACGGACTAATTGGAGAAAGGGGCAACTGATATTGCCGTAAGTTCATTAAATCGAATGTTTTAAAAACATATTAATACGAACTTATAACGTACAGGGTGTGCTAAAATATTGTTATAATATATAAGTATGAATAAATTATTATTATAATATACATTGAGTAATCTACTGTATACTCATTGAATCATTGACTTTTAGCAGGGTCTATCCGCAAATTAAAAAAAGTTCTATTTTTCCTTTAGAGCAGAAACAGTTTGTCCGTTAAACCGAAATCTACTGTATTTCATTATCAATGTAAACTATTATGTAGATTACAGAATAATTTTTTCAACTTTTCAAATTTATTTTTTTTTCTAGTTATCGTTATTCAGATCAATTCATATAGGCCTATAAAATATTTTATTTTTAATTTTATTTTTATAAAATTTTCGAGAGTGTATTGAAGAATGTGGCTTTATCTATTAACATGGACATTGTTAATATATAATCTAAATTCGGAACATGATAAGAAATTTTCGTACTTTATCCGTTTTGGTTCTATGTGCCAACTGAAGAGCTTTGAAAGATTTGATCATGAGAGATTTTATCCCGAAGATATAATTGTAAAGAATGCTCTAATCGGAGTGCATAATTGTTTAAGAAACAATATCAGATTCATTAATCAGGCCTTTCCTAAAGGAACTAACTTACTAAAAATGGTAGGTATATTTATAGTATGTATCACATTGTTTATTTATTTGGTTTTCAAAATGAATTGTATTTCTAGAAATGGGATGATAAGTTGTCTGAAATGGCTGCAGAATATGTTCGCCAATGTGTTAAGAAACCTGATTGCTATAAATATAATTATACCGGTAGGAAGTTTAGAAGTTTTCTTAAAATATAACACAACAAATAATAATATTGATAATATCGTTATATTAATCGTGCTTTTTGAAATCGCTATATATTTAAAATGTTCCACAGTGAAAAGTTTACTTCATCAAATTTCCAGTACTGTATAAAACTTTTTAATAGAGAGGTTGAGGCAGACGTTTTAAACGTGTAAACGTGTAGGACGGACGTTCGGCGCCGCTTCCCCGAAACCCAAAAAGTTGAACAAGGGGGTTGGAATAGCCAGCGGAATCACACCCAACATCCAAAAAACAATCGCAAAACTTCAAGCCTAACGGAAAGCGGCACCGAACGTCCGACCTACACGTTTACACGTTTAAAACGTCTGCCTCAACCTCTCTAATGATTAAAGATTTTTCTACTTTTTTTCTTTTAGGCTTTGCGTTTGTAAAAGTCGAACAGTTTTTTTTAGCTGAATTTTTATTGATTAGCTGAAAAGAATATTCAGCTAAAAATTTTTAATATTTAGTTTTCGTTATGTACTGCACTATTTAAAATTTTCATTTTTCTTTTGTTTATAAAAATCATGGAAATATAATATGCAAAGTTATATTACTAGCGACTCCGTTCTTTTCTCCTTCTTCAACCGTGTAATCTTGCGTTTTGCGAGACTCTTTATATGTTTTTTTGTAATTTGTAACAATTCTTTGGATCTTTGGCGATATTAGTTTTATCAAGGACACCAAGAAATACAATATATTGAGTTTAATAAATTTACAAAATCAGAATTAGATTTTAAAATAACCTAGTCAAAAAGTTTCTTCTGGCGTCTATTCTGATTTTTAAAATTCCAAATTAAAATTTTCTGGTGATCTAAAGAAATTTAAAGGTTAAGAGCTAGCCTATCGCTCTGGGGATCGAAACCAGATTATTTTTGATGGGCATTAATCCCGGATATGTACCGGATAGCCTCTTCCCTCATTATCTAACCGTTCCATTGTGGACCTGGCTGAACCCACGATGGGCATAGAAAACAGCTTACAAGTTAGTGTTCAAAAGACAGAGCGTCCAAAATTAAAAAACCCTAGATCTGTCCTCTACTGGTTTTACAATATTGCGTATTGTTCGAACTTGTGATCAAATGCGACTTTGCTATCTTCATTTGTACCAAGTATTACATATTTTATTGTTGAAGGTCTTTGTGTCGCTTGAGAGACAAATGTTTAATGTTAAGACAGTTATTACCTTAATATATAATTCTTCTTCACTCGTATCATATAACACTTTCTGAAATAGTTTCATTTTATGATATTGAACAAGCTATTACATACGCAACTACAAACAGACTGAATTGCAAAATAATTTTGCTTTATAAGGTACAGTATGTTGAAAAATATCTCTGGTTGGACTGCAGTTTGAAAAAAGTTGTAAACCTATAAATTCCCACTGTCGTCCGTCCTCGTGTCTGTCTGTCATTCCTTAATCTTAAGAACGGAGTTAGATGAAAAATAGACGGATACAGAAACTATAGGGGCAGCAGGGAGTTCGATTAAATGTATATGAACATTCGATGCAAACTAGAAGTTATATTATTTCAATTCAAAACTTTCCCCTGAAAAGTGTTAAATAAATGACCAACGCGATTCTATTGTTAAAGTAAAAGTATGATATACAGGGACAAGACACTACAGTACTAATTTGAGGTTGAGAGCATAAATTTTAAATTAAATAAATGAAAAATATGATTAAAAATTGCAACTCGCATTGTGACAATGGCATAATAAATAATTGAAATAATTGCTCTTTTTAATTTCACTTCATAATAGGGAGGTTGCGGCCGACGTTTTCAACGCAAAAACGTGTACGTCGGACGTTCAGCGCCGCCTTCCTGTGAGCCTAGAAGTTTGACAATGGCATTTAGAACGTCGACCACGATTCTACTGGCATTCCAAACGCCATTGTCAAACTTCTAGGCTCACAGGAAAGCGGCGATGAACGTCCGACGTACACGTTTTCGCGTTGAAAACATCGGCCGCAACCTCTCTAGTAACAAAAGAAACTTTTGCGGTAGTTTCGATTGTTTGTTTTTTTAATCTACTTCAATGATGATTTTCTTTGTTAAGGGCTACTTAGAATTTGTTTCAATAATAGATCGTATTCTTTGTTTCTTAAGTGAAGCAAGAACCTGAGAAGGAACTCGTTGTTTTAAACATTAAAAATATTTTTCTCTGTCTACAATTAAAAGTGGATTATTTTCTTTTAACTATATGTTGGCGAAAAATGTACGTATTAATTTTATAACATTAGAATTTATCTACTCCATAATTTCTAATTTTCCTTTCGTATTTGAGATTGAAAACGAATGACTTGCACTCTGGTGTCAGTTTAGAGAATTACTGAAAATAGTATTCAGAGTCCAGAAGTTAGTATTGTTACAGTAAATTCCTAAAGTCAACTTTTTTAAAAGCGCTTTTAGCCAAACGTTCCAAAACTCTTGTTGTCGATAAGTTCATCGAGTTTCTACTTCATTGAAACTGTTTCGAGACCACAGGCTACGCCACATAAGGCCCGTAGGATATTAGAAGAAGGTCATGTGACCAATTTAATGCTATGGGATGGGAAACGTTTGCTTCTATACATATACAGTCAAACCTCGGATTTCCAACTTAATTCGTTCTTAAAATTTGTTCGAAAATCGATTTGTTCTCAAACCGAAAAAATTTTCCCATACGAAACAATATAAAATGGATTAATCCGTACCCGACTCCACAAAACAAGGCCCTTTTTTACCTTTTTAGCTTTATTTCATACATAAAAGTGCTTATAAATGCAATATATTATATATAAAATAACATTACCTACAGTATATCCATTTTACATACGTAGCAGTGTTCTGTCACCGCTAACCGAAACCGAAACCATCACTTTATAAAAAAGTGCTATAAATACAGACTCGACTCAGTCTGAATGAAATATAACCAAATTAATCAATCTAATTTGAATTAAATTCAACTGAGACGCCCCGTTGTTGATTGGTTGAGCCTAGACGGCCTTGGTTGAGCCGTTGACTTTCTTTAACACAGGAAGTATACACGGCCGGATGGCCGATCGGTCAAGGTGGCAGAATACAGCTCTGGGGGACCAGAGATTGAATCCAGAAGGGTCGAATAATCCCCAGGAATTTTTCGGGGGGATCCGTATGGATATGTCGGCCCCGTCCCTCACCACCCGGTCGCCTCATTGTGAGCCTGGCTGGATCCATAATGAGTTTTCAAAAAGAGGCCCTCTTAGCGCCCACAAGGCGGAAAGAGTTTAAAAAAATCCAGAGGAAGACAGTCCTTCGACCTTGAATTATCGATTTTTATAGTTTTTCTCCTGCTATCGGTATTCCTGGTTTGCCCCACGTTCCATTGCTCGCTTCCCGATTGGTCTCTCCTTTGTTTCCAGATGAAAACCGAGACCTGATAGGGTCACGAGAAAGGTCCGGTGTCCGAGTCGAGGCGTCTATTCCACATCTTTTCGTCGACTATGCCCGGAGATTGTTGATAGAACCATAAGCCTTGCGCTCATAATTTAGCCCGTTGTTTATGATTTTTGTCGTCTTGGAACTTTAACGATCATACGCGATGTTTTTTATTCATCAAATCTTTCCCCTTTTCCGAAATTGTTTTCCTAGATCGACTATTTATGAGCGCTTGAGTCAGAGTTCTATCTTTCCCGACCGACATTCCATCTGATCCGTTACTTAATTTGTTTTCGCGTTTGTTTTAACAACTACAGTTTATTTTTCTCTCCTCTCTCTTACATAACTAACATAACCTTTGGTCCGACTCGGCAATAGCACTTTCGCTTTAATTAATATGAAATTAAATTTTTGTTTCGACCCTTTCTGAAACCTCACATCCTTTCCTCCATGTATACAATATTGTATATATTGTATATATATACTGTATATATAGATATAACATCGATGATTCAAACAAATCGATTATGACCATTGATGTTTAACCATCGCAGGACACTACTCACAACTCGAACACGGCAGCAGTTATCACTAACAAGTAAGTTGGTCACGTGATAAACATCGCACCCAACCTTTCTCTTTAAACTCAGTGTTGAGTAACGAACGTATCGATGACGTAGTCCCGTTTTCGACAGCATATTTTTTTTCTGCTGCTAGAGTTGCAGACTTTAAACCTGCTGAATTCCGATATACGAGTACTCCATGCCGCCAGTACACTAGGTACTAAAATAATATGCAGTAGGCCTACATACTTTTAATTTATAGAGTGTATTATTTTATTGGAATATCATTAATCTATGGAATCTCAACAAAGTGTTCCTAAACGTTACGAACGAAGATAATTTCTGTTTAATGCACTTTAAACAATGCGTAAACACACCTACATACTCCCAAAAGACTACAAGCTATGTAAACAAAGGTTGTATATTTTAAATTTGGAAAGGACTCACCCAAGAGCAATTTTGTCTGTTCTTTACATTTTCATACAACTAATTGCCGGGTAAAATATTTCTTAATACGCTAATTGCTTAATGATTATTTTAAAAACTATTGTACAGTACTTAGACTATTCACTATGAAATATTTTCATAATGCTGCTTAAAGCTATCTATAGGCTAGTAGCTTGTTTAATCTCTTATAATTTTCTTTTTTGTGTCTTTTGTCATTTATAATAATAATTTAAACTTTCAACCATTCATGTATGATAATTTAATTTCTCAAAATACTTTTTTTTGTTAAATATTTCGCTTCAAAACTTCAAAATATTTAATATTAATAAAAATATTATAGTATTTAATTAAATTAATTAATAAGCCCTCACAATTTTTGAGAACTTGATACTAAGTACTGTACATCAGAAGATTGTAAATAGCCCACAAACCTTTGATTTTGACATATTCTGAACGGTATCCAACACCACAAAAAATGTTTTTGCACTAATCACAGCTCATTCAATAAAACAGTTTAGTTCCTCCTCCTGAATAAAACAGTTTAATTTCTCCTCCTGCATAATACAGTATATCATTCAATTTTAATTTGTTAAAAAAATTGTTAATAAATATATACAGTAGCTATCTACATATAAACATACAAACTTATGCTATTTTAGTCCGCTATGTTTTAAGATCGATCTGTTCTCTATAGTTCATTTCAGTCACTAATAAGAGATATTAAAACTTCTCACTTTCATTACAATTTTGAAAATTTAAGTTATATTTCTTAAACTGGAGATTGATTCTACCTCTATATTGAAATTATATGATAAATACCACAGAAATAAATAAATACGTAAATATATATAAAAAATATATACTGATGGATTAAACGAAAAGTTGATGTGCGAGAAGTAAAACGAAGTGTTTGGTGATGGCGTGAACCTGCCCTGCTTGTTACTGTCATATTACACTTTGAGAGAAACAAATCTTGAGCATATATATACTATAGACTCCAAGAATAACATTCGAAACTGTAAAAAAAAAATAAGACAAAGAGAAGCAGAGTTTATAAACAACCCTTACTTTCTTCATACGGGCTATATTTGATTCTTTTTGTAGCTATGTTACCGCTAAAGCTCGAAATCCGTTAATGTGTACATTACCTAGCTAATCTGCAGATTAACTAGGGTGATCCGTTAAAGCTGCGAAAATTGTTCAATTTCTCAAATTACCTAGGTAATTTGCAGAGTATCTAGGTAATCTGCACATTAACGGCTTCCGTATCGTTAAAGTTCAAAAGTTTGTTTCTTTCACTTCCTTTCCCCACTCCTTCTTTTTACGTAGATAAATTTAAATCCTAGAATGCAAGCAAGCACCGAATTGGTGAGTAAAATCAAGAAAAGATTCTTCGCAAACCTCTTTAGCGAAGATTTAAAATATAATACGTAGTGTTTTAATAACAAACCAAAGTATGATTCCATAATTGAAGATGTAAAGCAAATAAAAGTTTCCAAGAAGAAAGAATCATCTCGAGATTATCAAATAATTCAAAGGTGTGATGTGTTGACTGTACGAGGCTGTGAAAAACTCATTGAGCCGTTGTCAGATGCGCGAGAAAGGTTTGAAAAAGTTTGTCCATGCCGGAGAATTGTTTGACATTCGATAAAAACTGAAGAAGACCTTGAAAAATTAGAAGATTCACAAGAGACTGTGATTATGAGATCACAGTCAAATCTTACTCAAGAGGACATTCCGTTATCCCCCGCTTCTACAGAATCACCTATAGAAATACAAGAATTTACCGATAGTAATCTTAAACTGCCTTCTATACCGTTGATTGATGATGCAGTCACGAAGAATATTCAGTTACCCTGCACCTCCAAGGAATCGCCTCTGCAAGTTGAAGAAGTCATCACTGAGTTACTCTCAACTTCAGCAGAATCGCCATCACAGTTTCGTACGGAGCCTGTAAAGAGCACTATACAAGACATAGTCTGTATTGTTTGCTCAAAAGCAGCATCAAGTGCTCACAAGTGTAAATCGTGTAATATGTTTGTTCACGCAGTTTGTGGTGAAGTAGATCCTAAAGAGGAAGGGTATGGTAAGAATGTATTGTGCATCATCTGTAAAAAGAATATGGATCAGAAAATACAGCGTGATGAAGCCAAGAAATGTTTAGAAAAGCAAGCAAAGAAAATGTTAGCAGTTTCTAATGCAAAGCACCCAAACGTCGATGAAGGTTTCGCTGTGAGAATTAAAGTACCCGAAGAAGACAGAGCAAAAACTGATGCACGTTCAATTTTAGCTGTGGTTCTTAGTAAAACAGAGGATGGCTTTTATAAACTTGATACTAAAACAGGTATTTTAAAACAATTGTATGCAAAATCTGAATTCAGTGTTTGCAAAGAGAGATTTTTAACGAAAGAAGATGGATGTCCCTGCTGTAGAAATATCTTTACGTCAAACAGCAATAAAACAATCCCTTGGTACTGGGCAGGGTTTCAGAAAATGTGACTGCAAATCTAAATGTACCACAAATAGGCGTGCTTGTCGCAAAAACCAATTGCTACGTAATTCAAAGTGTCACCAATCTTTAGATTGCACTAATAAGTAAGTACAATTTTATCATATGTTTTGCAAATTCATTTCCCTAATTGTAGTAATATTTTAAACCGTTTGATTTTTGTATTAAAGTTTTTTTAATTGATTGATGATTGATTCAATCAACTAATTTGTTGATTGTATTAACTTGATTCTTTAGATATTGAAGATTAAATAAATAACATTATGTTAATTTAAGCGTACAGAAACGTTGCTGTTGTTCCAGCAAAAATCTTATTTTCACTTTACCGAGTGCCTAGTAGGTAATTTTCAGATTACCTAGATAATCTGAACATTACCTAAGTAATTTGAGAAATGGAATAATTTTCGCAGCTTTAACGGATCACCCTAGTTAATCTGCAGATTAGCTAGGTAATGCGCACATTAACGGATTTCGAGCTTTAGCGGTAACAGCTATATGAACAGAACCGCAAAATAAACTTAGCAGCGACTTCCACGAAAATTTTATAAATGGCATAAAGATTTTGTGGAACGCGCTGCTATAGCGTTTTTATAAACGCCGTAAATAAAAATCTCTGCTAAGCGCGCTTCGATCTTGAACTCTTCCTTCAGGCAACTTTTTTTTTATTCTATAGACCTTTAATGCCCTGCAACCAATAAGATCTTTCTTCCTTGCCTATCATGAGTTCCTTCGGGTCCACAATGAGACGGCCAAATGACAAGTGACGAAGTCAACATATCGGGCAAACCACCCATGAAAACTTCCTAACCCGTACTCAAACTGGGTGCCAAGAGTGGCAGGGTCTACTACCTCAACCATTCGGTTGTCGAATGCCAGTTAATAAGGCCGGGTGGCCGAGTGGTGAAGGTGACAGCTTACCGTTTTGGGGGACCTGGGTTCGAATCCGAACGGGTCGATAAATCCTCAGGAAATTTTCGGAGGAGTGGTTCGTTTGGATATGTCGGGCCCCGTCTCTCACCACTCGGCCGCCCCATTGTAAGTCTGGCCGAACCTGGCTAAAAGAATAGTGCCCACAGGGCGAAAAGAGTTTTAAAAAAATGCCACTTATTAAAAACTTTGTAAAGGTAAATGTTTGTAGGTACGATGGTTCAGGATATATACTTTCTCATAAACCGTCGCATTAATTTTTAGTAATTGTACTTCTGTAAGTAACTTTATACTATAAAAATTCCAAAGTACTATCGCAAAAATTAATTTAAATAAGAACTGGAGTTAATATTACATAACATCGAAGAAGCGCATGATGATAGCGACTCGCAAGTCAGTCAGGCAACTCGCTAAACTCTTTGTTATACTTCGTGAGTAAACTTTTTGTTTGATCATTTGGTGTACTGAACAATTTTTTATCCTCGAGCTTATTTAATATCTGGTATTTAGATCCGATTATAAATGATGAATGAAAGAAAATATACAGTTAATACAGTTACTAAGAAATAAAACATTTATATCAAGTGAGCCATTAATAATAAACAACGCTTTTTGCCCACGACTATAAATTAGACAGAATTAGATAATATAAATAGGGTATAACAATTTGCAGGGCTTATCACACCAAGGCCGACTGAAAGAAGGACCAGAACTTTTGTAAAAAAAGGTTGGTCTTTAATAATCACATATCAAATTTAGGTAAGTATGCATTTCAGGTACAAGGACCCCTCATCAGCTTACAAACACATGGAAACAACGTAACAAATACAATACCAATAACCTGTCAATACAACGGGATAACCAACAGTGCACTGCATTTACTTTGTAAAATGCAGATGGACAGTGCAGTTGACTTCACAAAGGCTTATAGATCAGATGTATTTTGTTTGTGTTAAAATCTGGAAACCAATTGGTTTTAATAAGATGTAACCGTCTACCAGAATTTGGAAAATGTCGGAGAAACTAAAACATTTACTGGTCCCAGATAATATGTAATACCACATTGTCATTGTATTATAATTTATACTTGATATTTTAGTTTTAGTGTATGGGTTACATTGAGAAATTGTAAATGCAGTGCACTGCATATGTTGGTTATCCCGTTGTATTGGCAGGTTATTGATATTGTATTTGTTACGTTGTTACCATGTGTTTGTAAGCTGATGAGGGGTCCTTGTACCCGAAATGCATACTTACCTAAATTTGATACGTGATTATTAAAGACCAACCTTTTTTATAAAAGTTCTGGTCCTTCTTTCAGTTGGCCTTGGTGTGATAAGCCCTGCAAATTGTTATACCCTATTTAGGTTATCTAATTCTGTCTAAAGTGAGTCATTGCCTACTTTAAATGGCCATATTACTGAAATACAGCGCTCTTACTATTAGTTTAATTCACAAGTATTTTGTTGCGAAATTAATGAAATAGTCTACATTATCATTTAAAATTGATAATATATTTTCCAGATGATACTCAGGTGGAACAAAATTTCAAAGCAGTTGTACATAATAAAAACTATGAAGTAAACGATCCTGTTCTAAGATTTGCAAATATAATTAAAGAATGGGCATTTGAAATAAAGGATCTGCCTGGCAGTATTGTTCAAAATTTTCAACCTGATAATAGCCCAGAAAACGATTGGGTTAATGTATGTTTTGAGTTAAGTTTTCCGTTACACTTTCTTTTGTGACGATCAAATTTTTGATATTTTTCTTTTTGTTTTCAGCTATTTCGAGCTACGACGTACAAAGTGGGATGCGCTATTGTAACTTTTCAACTGAATAACGAAAAATTTAAAGAAATATATGCATGCAATTATGCACCTGCGTAAGTACAGTGTACAGTGTGGACATATATTATAGTAAAGAAGTTTTAAGCTTTCAATATACTGTATAGTCTACTTATATTAATAGTTAAATTAATATTTTTTCCTTAAAGAGAAAGCTCCACTGTAAGATGAATTGATTACTTTAATGATTTATTACTTGAAATTCATTTAAGCTTCTATTATGCTTTAATGCATTAGGATAATGTTATGATTAAAAAGTGGAAATGGAATTTTACTAAATGTTATCTAAAACTTCCCGTACAAAAACAAATTCTTGAAAATTAATGCGAACATTGAAAATGATAAAACAGTTACTGTATATAGCTACTGTATAATACGAAGTCTTATTTGAAATATATTGGTACTATGCGATACATCGATTGCTATCAGTTTCAAGATGGGTTATCTGTATTGTATGTTACTAATCAAGCCACTGTATACCGGATGGTCGAAGATGTCTACCATTCTGGGGAGACCTGGGATCAAATCCGGAAGAGATTCTGGGCTGGCCACGTGTAGTTTACCGGATTTTCTTTGTGTGTCTAATAACTAACTGCAGCCAGTTTTCAATAGAAAGTCTTCTCGAGAAACACTGCTCTGAGAAATTTATTTCTTCAAATCATTTTCATTTTATATATTATTCTTAAATTATTAATAGATTTGAAATTTAATTAATAACTTTCTTAGCATTAGTAATAAATTGTAGTTTCATGCTGTTTTAAAATAGGAAATTGAAAAACGGAGAAGAAATATATAAAAAGGGAGAAACTAAGTGGTGCACTGAGTGTCCAGCTGAAATGAAATGTCATCGAAGATGGTTTCGTTTGTGCGGTAAGTAGTAGATGATATAATTGTGACTGATACTTCTAAATTTATGTTTATGTATGTATGCACACGCACACGCATGCACACAAACATTAATTTATCTTGTCACTCATATACAGTAGTCATAAGTGCCTACAATAGCTCATATGTGTATAGGGCACTCCTGTAGTAGCGGATACGCAGAGCGACCGCTATTAACGAACGCGGCCTATAGGCTATTCATTGTTTTTAAAAATAATTTTGTTATTATGAGAGTCTCCTGTAACAGGCAGGACTATCGATAACTTGTATGAGTCCGGGGTAGAGCAGGCTCCTTTTGTCTGTTAGCAGGCCCATTCATCTTTTTTGGTTTTGAATAAATGAAACACGGAGACTTTCTTTATTTTAATAAAAAGCAGTCTTAAAGATTTTATTTACGTTAGTGAAAATAACGTTAATTTTATCGGGGTAAGAATGACTAGAAGACACCTAAGTTTTCTCCGAACACTGGAAAAATCTCTAGCTCTCCCTCTCTCTCGGCGTTCTGATAACAGGGTAAAATACTTTTATTTATTATATTAAAAATAGGAAATGTCCAAGAGCAAATGATCTATACCCCAAACCAACATAATATCCCAAGCGCAGATAACAATGAATAAAACTTTAAAACAAAATTTAAGAATTATAAAGCATACTTTTACAAAACATTTTATTTCGCGAATAATCACTGTAAAGCGTAATGTTCTATATTAATCAAACTATGAACTACAGTAGACCCCCTATAACGCTTAGATGCGTTCCACGTTATTCGAATTTTACGTTGTAGGAATCATAAAATACATGAGCCAATCGCAGCCCGACACGTGTGAAGTTTACGGACTAAGGCTGTTTGAAAGGTTTTCTTCTATAAAATTAACTGATTCTAGACTCAACATTTCCAAAACACGTATAATTTTTTGGGAATAATCCGTATAAACTATGCTATAAACAAAAAATTATAGGATTACTTACCGAGTGTGCACCGTTCGACTACGCCGTTGCTTACCCTTGTTTTCGTCGCGGAGCAGCGCACCAAACGGCGGCCGCGTTTTCTGATAAATTATTTTTCTGCGAAAAATTCGCTAAACTTTGGAGACATCATTAATAGAAATAATTTTTATGACCGTTAAATAAGAAATGTTTCTTTCACAAGAAATGTATAATATTTGTAATTTGTAATTTGTAATTTGTAAAAGAGGGTGAGAGAGCTGTCGGTCTTTTAGCTGACTGACTTAGCTCGTTTAGATAGGAAACGGAAAGAAGGTTCGAAGGTAAGATGATAAGCAGCAAGAGGAAGTTAGATAGATAGGAGAGAGGAAGGAAGTGACCATGGGTTCCATGGGCGCCCGAAACGCCTCAACACACTAAGTAAAACAAAATATGGTTACAAGGTCCAATAATAGCATGGAAACCATATAAACAAAATGGCGCGGCAATACAAACAGTATTCAGGGTTAATGTTTACAATTTATATAAGGTAATATCGAGCAATTAATTAATGTAAAACAGGGGAAGTTATATGTACTGTACATGGCATATACGATCAGGAACCGTCCTTGTTATCTTCGTCTGTTTCACTTTCCGATGTTTGGTGGATTGGACTATTGTCATTCGGTGTTTGTTGCTGTTTTTTGAGGTAGTCCGGTTTTAGTTCTTTTGTTTTCTTGACGAATGTTTGAAGGCTGCACCACAGTCGTTTGGTGGCAAAGATGTCTGCCAGCTGTGGTGGCCATGTTAGTCCACTTGTGATGGTGTCCCTAAAAAATTCTGCTCTATGCTGGTGGAATTTAGGGCAGTGGAACATAAAATGTTCGGCGTCTCCCTCACTTTTAAGTTCACAGTCACATTTATTGTCCGTGCGTTTTTTAAAGCGGTAAAGGTAAGACTGAAATTTCCCATGACCCGTTAGGCATTGGGTCATGTCTGGATCGGGTTCAAAGTGATGGGCTTTTTTCCTTGCCGTTAGAGTTGGTATAAATCTATGGCAGAGTCTTCCCGTCTTGGAGTTGTCCCATTCAATCTGCCATAGGGTGTTTGTGATTGAGTTTATTTTCTCCCAGATCATCGTCATCGGTATGCGTGAGTAGGTGTGGGGGGAGTGGAGTACGCAAGCCTTTTTGGCCAGCAGGTCCACTGTTTCGTTCCCTCCATAACCTTTGTGGGCCGGAATCCAGTTGAAGTGGATGATTCTATGCATAGCAAGAGAGTTTGCGGTGTTTATTAGTTCTCTTCCTAGTCGTGTGGCTCTCCTTTTGTTCTCAAGTGTGTGCAGCACTGCCCTGCTGTCAGTGTAAATATTTATTATCCCTTTGTAATAATTGATGTTAGTGGCTATGTGAGTTAGGGCCTTGTGCATTGCCCAAAGTTCAGCCTGCATGACACTGCAGTAAGGTGCCATCTTGAGGTGTGCTTGGAAGGTCTTCCGGCCATTTCGTGCAAATATGGCCACTCCCGCACCCACTCCCCTTTCCTGTTTAGACCCATCTGTGTAGACAGCCCAATCACTTGGTGTGTTTTCTATTCCCTCAAACTGTAGGTCAACATTGTAGTGTGTTTCGTCAGCTGGGTGGAAATAGTTCCTCCCGCTTTCGTAGTCATCTATCCCGTGGCATTTTATTTTGTCTATTAAATCATCACAATTAGCTGGAATTTTCTCCTCCTTCCTGTTATTGGCCTTTCCTTGATCTGTCCATTGTGTGATGTCTCCTTTGGAAAGGTACCACTTCCATGTGAGTGCCTTGGCTGTGAGGTGTATTGGCTGTATACCTGCGAGAACCAGTAGCGCGTCCGTGGGTGTCGTCCTGTAAGCTCTACACATTTGTAGGGCTGCTCTGCGCTGAATGGACATGAGTTTCCTCCTTCCATGTATGCTATTTAATGCTTCATGCCATACAGGTATTGCATAAAGCACAGCTGGCTCTATTGCTGCCTTGTAAATGATTTTGCAGTTCCGAAAATTTAGCCCCCACTCTTTGCCTGCTATCCATGTCAGGAAATTTATCTTCTGGTTAGTTTTCCTACATATTTCTTCAATGTGGCTTTGCCAGTTCAATTTTTGGTCAAAGTATATACCGAGGTACTTTAATTCCGTGACTGTTTTGATTTTCTTGCCATCGATGTGCACACCTATCGCTCTTTTTAGTTGCCCCCGCTTGTCTTTTCGTGTGCATGTCATTGATGCACACTTTGCACGATTTATCGGTAACTTGTGATTAATGCTCCATTCCTGTACTTTCTGCACTACCTTATTTGCCTCTTTGGCTAGGTGGTCACAGTTTTTATTGGCTATCATGATCAGCAGATCATCGGCGAAAGCTTGAATTTTTATGTCCGTGGATTGTTCTATTGTATACAGTAATCCATCGAAAACCAGGTTCCAGAGGCCCGGACCACATCGTGATCCTTGTGGGCAACCTCTGTGTACCGTACTGCTTACCGAGATATTGTTTGTGGTGAATTCCACCCGTCTGTCCGTAAGATAGCTCTTCACCAGGTTAGTAATGTTCCTTGGGCAGTCCACCTCCTTTAACCTGTAGAGCACGTTCGGCCACCATAGGTGGTCGAAAGCCTTTTTGTAGTCAATGCTGATCATTATAGCATGTTTGTTGTTCTCCCGAGCATTTTTAACAAAGTTTTTGGCGTTTAGAATCGCCTCGACTGCTGACCGCCCCTTCCTAAACCCGTACTGGCTGCTATTCATGCAATCGGTTTTAAACAGATGGTGGTTTATTCTATCTATCATTAGGCCGTCAAGAACTTTCCCTAGCACAGGTAGAAGGCTGATCGGTCTGTAATCATCAGGGGACTGTGGGTTGTCTCGTTTTGGAATGAATCTAATATTTCCCGTTTTCCAGTTTGTCGGGAATATCCCCATTCGCAGGCACTCATTGAATAGGTGGACAAACGCCATCGGTATCTCCTCAAATCCGGCCTTAACCATTTCTGCCGTTACTCCATCTCTTCCTGGGGCCTTTCCGTTCGCTAGTGTTTTTATTGCTTTCCTTACTTCACTGAAAGTGAACATTCTGTCGTTTTCTGTTCTCGGGTCTTGTTGGCTCTGTAGCCGCGTCAGTTTATGGATTTCTAGGTCGTCTGCAGTTGAGTCCTGAGGGAAATGGTGTTTCAACAAGTTTTGGATATTTCCTTCTATATCACCAAGGTTGCGTTCCCTATGCTCTTCGTTACCAGGTGTTATGTCTGGGATTCGCAGCCTTTGTCTTCTATTTACTATCAGGCGGTATGGAGTCTCCCAAGGCCCTTTGGCGTTTGTGCTGGTGCAGAATTCTCTCCATGCCCTAGTGCGAGCTGTATTGATCTTCTTCTTGTAGTCTTTTAATTGAGCCCTATATTCTATTTTTAGCCTGTTTTTGGTCTCTTCATTCTTTGATCTTGTTATTTTCCTTCTTGTTTTGTTTATATCCTTTTTTGCTCTTGTAAGCTCAGCTGTCCACCAATGTGTTTTTCTTTTCTTTGTCTTCCTAGATATGGTGGCTTGTTTACCTGCGCTTTGTAGTGTATAAAATTAGTGCTGTATTAGACTTACGGTACCTAATTTACATACTGTACAGACGATAGTAAACTCAACTTACTCGCCTAAACTCTCCGTAGCATGCAGCTGGACGGCGGAAAATAGTTCGGCTGCTCGTCCACTATTGGTCCAGATACGACCAATCTTGTCGCGACACGAGTCGGCGACGACGTTTTACGAGTCTCTTTATATGAATACTGCCGCAATTTTTTCGCTACGTTATAGGAATTTTCGTTATAGGAACGTACGTTATAGGGGGTCGACTGTACTTGTAAACAATAAAAGAATGATCTATGAGATATAGAGGTATCCCTTGTATTGGTACAACACGGTTTTGCTCTAATACTGTTCGAAAATTGAGGAAATCCTCGTACAACACGATTTCCGGTTTTGTTCTAACACGGTTTTGAAAAGACTCCGTACAAAATTTCACAATTTTTAAGTGTAATTTCCATCATTCGACATTTT